TATTTCTCTAACAAAGTTTGTAAAAATGCTACTAATCTTGTTGTGCTTACTAATCTTTCAAAATCTAGTAAAAATGGTTGCATATACTTCATATTACTAATGCTTAATTTTTCTAATTTTTCTAANNNTGCTTAATTTTTCTAATTTTTCTAATGCTCTATTTTGTTCATAAGTGATATCTCTATTGGAGTCAGATTCTATAATTATTTCTCTAATAAAGCTCGTAAAATTTATGACATTGTCTCCTCTAGCCATTCTTAATCTAAATTCTTTTGGTTTTAGTCTTTTAGCTATAATGTAGATATCTAACGCTATCTTTTCTAAATAAGCCTACATTTCTTCTACAGTCAGTTGTATATGTACACTATTATAGAATTTTCTCATTTAATTATAGTATTAGATCTGTCTTGCGGTTTACAATTATTTAATTTTAAAATTAATCCTCTACTGTTTGCTATTGGTAGACTACATTATTCTTCCACAGTCCCCGTCCTAAGTTTTTATATTTTTTTGTCTTGTAGCTGAGAATGATTGTTTAATGATTAAGTTCAAATTTGACAAAATATATCGACACTTGGACATAATAACACCAAATATAGCAAACAAGTTGATATTCTCGAGCTCAAAAAGTTGGGTAGAAAAATTGTAGATAAGAAAAGAGAAATGTTATTCATCCCGAGTGGGGATGCATCCCCAATCTACATGGCATTAAATAATAGGTGAAATTAAATAAGTTATTTAATTTCACCTATCATTTAACCAATCATTTACATCCACATAGATTGGGAATGCATCCCCACTGGGGATGAATAGCATTTTTCATAAGAAAATTAGTAGAACTTAGGTAGATAATTTCGCGAAGCAACACATTGGTATTCTTGAGCTGCTCAAGCAAAACCATCTTTTTCTTGTGCAATGGCATCTCGGATTTATTCAAGTCATGAATCATGATATATCGTGTTAACTATTCTAGAAGTATCTTTAAAGACATCATGGGAGAATGTGGATGGTCTCTTAATTTTTGACTAATGGTTTAAGACAACGATGGCGTGACTTTTTTTTTTTATACTCAAATATAGTTTATTAAATATCATAGAAGATGGAACTTATTTAGCCCTTGTTTGATTTCCATTATTTTTAAAATATATTTTATCTCTCATTCGCAACTATACATTTTTAATAAAATAATATTACACGCAAATTCAAAAAATTCTTTATTTTTCAACCACACAATTTCCATCAAAATAATATTTTAAAATGCATTTAGACAAAGAAAGGACTCAAACAAGCCCTGAGTAGCGTTTTATTTGTTATTTAAACTATATTGAATCAATCATATTACATGTAAATCATCATTTACATCATTTTTTTACAATTTACCATATGACAATATACTATTGGACTATTTTAAAATAAACAGTTTTCATCCAATCATTTTTTAACGACATATCAAATGTCAAACTACATGTACATCTAACAGTTTTTATATTGAATAAGGTAGTTCATATTTACTAAAATTAAGACACATTATGAGTAGTGGCAGACCCAGCACCCGGCACCGACGAGGTGGCGCTACTGCGTGGGCTGGGCTCCGTCAGAATAGTGCCAGATCGCAAAGGAAGAGGGAGACCGGCGCTGGTGTGGGAGAGGTTTGGGTTTTTTTTGTTTTATTTTTGGGCCCTTTGTTGGGCAGCCCGTTTCTCTCCCTCTTTTTTTTTTTTGTTTTGTAATTGGGCCTTTTGTTGGGCGGCCCATTTTCCTTTTTTTTTTGTGGGTAATTGGGCCTTTTGTTGATTCGTTGGAGGTATAGATAGGTAGATATTTCACTTTTGAGGACGAAAAAATTTACTAGGGCTGTCGATGAATTTTTTAAGATAAAAAGTTTAATCCTTGCATGTGAAATTTCTTGTAGTGTGTATAAATATGTACCAGTGATTGAGTTTAATATGGTTGCGGAATTAGGGAAACAATTGCTTCATTTGGTTAAGGATATGCAACGAGGTCTGATAAAGAAGGATTTCGAGGAATCTATGGAGGAAACCAGTCTATTTCTAAAGAGGACGAGGAGAAAATTGTTCATGGCAATGTCCCAGTTATGTTCTCCTTTCTTTCTTCAATCATTAACCTCTAGGCACGCCTTATCGGATTCATATTCGATTATTGTCTATGTCAGATTAAAATCTAAATTTGAAATAATTAATTTTAATTACATATCTAATGAATGTACATTTTTTCAATCATCACATATTTCATGAAATTCATAATTTTTCAACCACATATTATATCAATTTTATCACAATATACTATAAATTTTATTTTAATCCCCACCATATAGGGCTATATTTATAAAACGCTTTGACACTTCAAGAAAATTGTCTAATTTTTTTTTAATTTGACGCCGATAAAACTTTAGGAAAAAAAATTAATAACTATATATGGAAACTTGAATTAAGAATTGAATATTATTATGAACTTTTCGCAGGTTTGGCTTTAGCAAACATATATATATACACAATAAACAACATCGCTCATACGATCGCTAGTTGTTGACGGTCATTTGTCAACGTCCGTCTGGACTGAATTTCAATGCTAGGTCCGCCACTGATTATGAGTTCGCTTGAGGCCCATATTATTTATTATTATTATGTAAAATACATTTTAGAATAGTAGGTTGATGGAAAATGTGTAGTTAAAAAATAAAAAAAGTTTTGAGTTTGCGCATGATATTATTTTATTGAAAAATATATGATCGAAAAGAAGATAGATAAAAATATATTTTGACAAAAAAAAAAATGGGAAACAAGGACTATATATGAGTATATTAAAAAAATTAAGAATAATTATACTTTTAAATTAATAAATCAACGGGGTTAATTTCACAAATGGTCACTGAAGTTACAGCAAAATAACAAAATGGTCCCTGAAGTTTGAAACTTGCATAAACGGTCACTCAACTTACACTCACTTTCAAAAATGGTCANATGGTCACTGAAATTCAAAACTTGCGTAAATGGTCACTCAACTTTCAGTCACTTTCAAAAATAGTCACTGAGCAAAATTAAGGGATTTCTTTGTTCTAATTGAAACCCAAATTAACAAACTCGAGCCCCTTCAATATTGGAGGGGCTGAAGTGCAATTTCCTTTTTTGTCCTTTTTTCACCAAAAATGCATCTTCAATTTCATCACACAGAACTCCTTCACGCTCAACTTCACTTGACAAAATCAATCCAGAGTTTTGATTGTTAATCGGGTCAATTGATTGGTTACCCATGATGCTACTAACCTCTATAGATTTTCCTTCACTACCAAAGAGATACGGATGATAAATCTCAACATCTCGGCATGATTTGTGGAGTTCAATGGAGTGATAAGGAATCCCAAAACTGCCAAAGAGATAAGGATGATAAATCCCAGCAGCTCATGCTATATTAATGGCGAGATGTTGAAGGATGAAGGAGTCCCAATGGCAACAAATTCAACTCAAAATGATAGTTCAATAAGATAAGGAAACTCCAACAGAAGATGAGAGCATATCTTGGATTCAACAAAATTCACACTCCACACCTTCTCGA